TGAGATAGAAAAAAACTCAATGAAAACCATAGCTACCAGGGAAACACAGACAATACATGGGATAAACCCAGAACATGGTAAAAGTGAGACTTGGTATCTCTCTGTGCTTTATTGTACACATCATCAGACAGGCAAAATTTTAAGTCTGACCATGCCAAATGTTGGACGTTTAGGATAACTTAGAAACTTCATATGCTGCTGATGGCAGAATAAGTTGGTAAGTAACTTTGGAAAACACTTAGGCATGATCAATTAAGGGGAAGGTGGCCACACTCAATAATCCAGCAGTTTCATTCTTACGTCTATACTCTAAATAGACACTCCTGCACATGGACACCAATAGAAATGTGCAAGAATATTCAGAACCATATTGTTCCTATAGCCCCAAACTAATTCAGGATTTCAATTATCGATCAAATAGACAAAAAAAAATTAGTATTTATACAGTAAAATCTATACATCAATGGAAAGGAACAGAGTACTATGTGGATGGCACTCCATCTTAAGTAAAGGTAGTAAGTCAAAAAATAATACATAGGCTATGTTTCCATTTAGATGGTTCAAACACAAGCAAAGCTATATTGATTAGAGATACAAACACAGGTAGTCAATTTTTAAGGTAAGAAAAAGTTATTATCACACAGTGCAGGATAGCGGTTGCGTCTGGGAAGGGAGAGAGGGGAACAGCTTCTGGGCACTGTCAATGACCTCTTTCTTGTCCTGAGTGGTTTAATACATGGATGACCTTTTTACATAAAACATACGTACAATAATAATTATACTTTCATATATGTATCGTATATTTCAAAAGGAAAAAGAGAACTAAAGTACTAAGAAAGTCACTCAGAAATACAGCACAGGTCCTATTTAGAACCAATAGGAATTCTAAAAGAAGAGAATAGGGGGTTGATGGAAAACATGCGAAGAAATAATAGCCATAAAATTTCCAGACCTTAACAAAAAAAAAAGATATTTTTTTCAGATTGCACATCAAGCAGCATACACAAATCCAGATCCAAACCTAGATCCATCATCATGAAACATTAAGCATTAAAGAGAAATAGAAAATCTTAAAGACATCTAGAGAAAGAAGACAGAAAATATACAAAGGAACAATTATGTTGTTGATGAAAACTTCATTGTAAGGCCAGAGGACAATGAAATAATTATCTTTACAGTGCTGAGGTGAAATAGCTGTTTACCTAGAATTTGATGCTTTGTATATATTATTCAAGAGTGAAGCAGTGTAAAGATTGAGAATCTTCTACCTATGGACCTGTATGAAAATAACAAGTTGCTTTAAGAAGAAGAAGGAATGCAGAGGGAAACTGGAAAACAAGAAACAAAGGGGAGTACAGAAATTCATAAAATTTTCTTTTAATAGTGGGATTTCAATACTCAATAGTTAAAGTTGTGACTAAAATTAACAATAACAGGAAGATGGAGGAGAATAATAGGTATTAAGGACACAGAAGTCCTAATTATGCTCAGAAGAGGGATAGGAATATTGAATAATTTTAAATGTCTACATTTTTATATTTTTATTGGCTTCTTTCAAAAATGTATAATAACCTACACATTTTCTAACAATGTTTAAATTTTCTTATAGTATTTTTTTTTTTTTTAGCTGAGCCATCCCGCTGCCTATTGGCAGCTCAGCTCTGGCCGGGACTCGAACCGCTGTTACTCAGAGCTCGCACTCTTCAGTGAGCTCTTAACCAACTGAGCCACTCGGCCAGCCCCAATAATGTTTAAATTTTAACACCTTAAAGATCAAGAGAAAAATAAAACAAGGAGGTAGGCATAGAAAACTTGATACTACAATGACAGAAAAGAAAAAGGAAAAGAAAATCATGATAAACAAATATACAAAATAAATACATAGAAATATTTAATGCAATAAGTAACTGAGTTAAATTAATCTATTAAAAGACAGATTATCAGATTTTTTTAAATCCAGCTACATGCTGCTGCTTTTAAGAAACACACTTAAACTACATTGACTATATAAGAAAAAGATGTCATACAAATAGTAAAACAAAAAGTGAAATTATCAGACAAAATCAAATTTAAGACTAAAATTATTAAATAGAGATACAGAAGATGTCTACAGAATAACATAAGAAATAAGCCAATTGAGAGATATTACAAATTTATAATCACATAACATAACCTGAAAATATACAAAGGAAAAAAATGGACCAGAATTATTTTTAAAAATTTTAAACTGACCATTCATATTCAGAGGTTTTTAAATGCCACACTATATGTTTCTAGTAGCCACAAGAAAAAAAAAATTCCCTCTCCCCTCTTCCCTGTGGATTACTCTAAGCTTTGATTTCTTCCTGAAGATCTGGAGAAGTTCCAGGTGCTGAGCCAACATCCCTGCCAAGCAGCTACTGAGTCTCTTCATAGCTCATTGTGAAGCAGTGGCCAGCATGGTAACACATCGTATCACTTTGTTTTCCATTTTCTCTTGCCTCGTTTCCCCTATTTTCTCACTTTTACCATCCAGGACTTGCACTTTCCAAATAAAGTGTGAGTACTTCAAGCCTTGTCTCAGGCTGTATTTTACAGAAGAGGTTTTCTATGAGAGCTATAAGGACAGTTCTCATTTGACTAGAGTGCAGGACATTTCCCCCTTGCTTCCAAGAGTCACTCACCACTTTTCCCTGCCCTGCCCTCTGCGCTGGGAGGCCATTGACCTATATCAGTGGGGCGCCCACACCCTCTGGCTACCAGTTAGGTCCAGCCAATGGGGTGCCCTGGTAGGAGATTGGAGGAAGAAAATATTTATTCTCCTGCTGCCTATGAGGTCACTTTGGGCTGGTTGTGTCCCTCAAATAAAAGTCACAGCTGGTGGTCCTGTATCCAAATTCCTTTTTTATTTCTGAGACTTATTTCCTCCTCCCATCCCTTCGGACCTAAGAAACATGACAACTTCACACTGGCTATACTCAGATCACTCACTGTCCCTTGCAGCTCCTCTCCACCCTGCCTACTCCTTTGCAATTAATCTCTTTATAAATAAATTATTCCAATTTGAATTATTCCAATTTGAGAGTGCCGTCTGCTTCCTGTTAAGACCAGTTGTGTAAAGGGATGGTTAAGTTATAATACAGTTTATCTGCGTTGGAATACTGCATAGCCATTGCACATCAGTTAATGTTTGGCAGCAAGAGCAAGTGATGTGCTATTTTTTTTTTAATCACATAAGAAGTCAAATAATGAGGGTTCTGACAGGAAACAGAATTCCATCACCTGAAAGGGACTTTAACGATGGGATTGTTTATGGGAGAGCAGGCAAAGTAATCAATAAGGGATGGTGAAGCCCCAGGAACAAGAAAGGGCAGAAAACATCACCACCCCAAACGCTGAAGAGGCAACAGGAAGAAAGAGTGGTGCAGTGCGGGAACCAGTATGAGTGGGAGTCCTGGATGAGTGGCCATCTCTCCAGAGTCCTAGTGATGGAGGGAGGCAGGCCCTGTTAGAGCCTTGTCTGCAGCAGGGTGGCATCTGGGAAAGAAACCCCTGAGCCTTTTCCCCTGTGCCCACCAATCTTCTCTCTCCAGTCTTTGGTCTGCAGTCAGTGCCTCCGTTGGCTGAACCCAGTTGGAAACCAGAATGACATGCCCCAGGGGACAGCCTGTTGGGCTCAGGGTGAGACTCGGAAGGGCAGAAGATGGGTCTGGGTGGGCAGGAGGTGGGAAGGGCAACAGACAGTAACTAGCGTGATCGGGATGTCAAATTCCATGCGAACATATTCCTAACTTTGTGAAAAGTGATACAAGTATTTATGTATAAGAGAATGAACTAGAGATTTAAAGTACCTACCTCATGGTAGTAAAAGAATAATAAATGGTTTTTATTTTTCATAGTGTTTGGTATATTTTACAAATCAAAAAATGGCTATGTATGACTTTTAACTTTATCTTAGAAAAAATAAATACAGTTGGATGATGTGTTTATTTTAATTTTCATTTTTAAAGGAAATATGTCCTATAGGCTCCTCCTGGTAAGAACTGCACTTCCTGAATTTTTTCAGAAGTAGGATCTCAATTAGAGTGAAGATCAGGCCAAATGAGAGGGGCTGTTTGTTTCTAAGCCCTAGTTTGGTTTTTACACTATTCTGCTAATTGATGGGAAAGAATAATCTAATGTGGATTTTTCAGTTCTAATCATATTAGCAGATGTAATCTCATTAAGTACTATTAATTGTGTCATGTAGCAAAGCTGGTCTGTGATAGTCACTCTGTCAAACATATCCTAGAGTTGGACGCACAAACCTCAGTGCATAGGCAGTAACCTTGTGTAAACGTGTAGCTTCAATATCCTTTCAGTTTACTTAGACTGTAAATAAACATCTTTCTCAGATTACATTTGTTTTCAAAACTACTTTTGGCACTGTTTGATTTCTTTTTCTATTGCTTCCCGAGTCTCATGTTTGTATCTGAACCCTAAAGCTCCATAGAGGAACAGGATGGTACGGTCAGCTGTCTCCAGTCCGTCCTGGCAGTTTCCACACACCCTGCCTTCCCCTTCTATTCATAGCGCTGTCCTCAGGCTCACATGTGGTGCGTGGTAAAAGCAGCTACTTCCCCCAAAGAAATATTTAGTATGCGCAGAATGAGATAGCATGCCTGTGGAATGTCATAGACTAGCATTGAAAATAATTTCTAAAGCAAATCCTTAGCCTCCACCAATGTCTCAGCCATTCCCTTGGGCTGAAGTAGCAGTTGGGGAGAAAAGCAGCAGCACTAACCCCCCCCCCCCCACTGTATTAAACTCAAAGCCTGTGTAAGCTGGGCCCCTGGGCTTCAGGGCCTGCCAGGCTATTTCAAGCTCAGGATTATGCAGAGAGAGCAGATGCATTACATTTTGCCATCTTCTGAAATCTAAAATTTTAAGTAGCATCTAAAGAGCATAGATTAAAAACTTTGATTTCAGCAATTGTACTTTTTGACGTGTTTCCCTAAACTTAAAATAAACTTATAAGAGTATGAATTAACACATATCTTATTTATGTTTCATAAATATCCACAGAACATATGATTTTTAAAAAAACATAGTGCAGATAAGAGTCAGTTGAGCTTTAAAAAAATAATCAGGTACATATTTGGAACTTTTTAAAAACAAGATTTATACCTGAAAATGCCAATATAAGTTTAAGGCAGTAACAACTGTAAGTGAATCATAAGTATATTTCAGACCCAATTTCCAAGTACTATATTTTAACCTTCAGACTCTATATTTACAAAGCTCCGCTGTAATTAAAATACACTGAAAAGAAAAGCTTATCGGGTGAAGGGGATCACAGCTCTTTCTAGCAACACGAAACATTTTCATAAAATCGATAAACGTTCCTTAAATGAGGAGGGCTCTTTTGCTACCAGTTGTTACAAATGCACCTTCTCTGGCATTGTTGGAATCATGAAGAAATAATACTGAGTTCTCTCTAGTATCAAATTAGTCTTCAAATTGTCATTGTTTCAGGTGTAAGAAGAGCATCGCTTTCAGCTGTGGGGACATAATTAACAATAGTTCTTTCTGAGTGAGAATAACAAAGGCAACCTCAACATACTAGGAATGAACTATGTCTATATTTTTAATCTTCGTAAGAATCATTTCAAACGTGGGTAATACAAACATTTCGGCGGTACCATTTACTGGCGGAACTGTAGTCTTCCCCGTGTCGTGTGAACAGGCACTGAGGAGATTTCACTTAGTCCCAGCTGGGTCCTTTACTTCCACCACCAGGATTCCATCGTGACAGAGGATCGCGGACAAATCTTTGGTTTCAATGCCATCGGGCAGTTTGTACTGTCGGGTGAAGCTTCTTGAGATAAAGCCATGCTCGTCCATTCTGGTTCCATGTTGCGCCTTAATCAGCAGCCAGCCTTCGAAGGTCTGAATGATGATATCTTCGGGGAGGAACTGGACCACGTCCAGCAAGATCTGGAAGCGTGACTTGCCTTGTTGGGGCGGCATCTCTGCCGCCGAGTCCACTGGAGGAGCCTGGGCCGCCCTGGCTTTTCCCAGGTCCACGGTGGTTGGCCCCGGCAGTGCATATAAAGCGTGATCCAGCCTGCAGTCTTCCAGACCTCGAGCTTCAAACTCCTCCTGGTAACGCACCGGAGTCTCAATGAGGTGCCTCAAAATGATTTTTGCCATAGCAGAGGCAGAGACAGCCTCAAGCGGCTTTCCCTTCAGTCTGTGTGCAGCCAGTGGTGGGCCCGTGCAGTTGCCGTCTGACTGGATTATCAGCTGGAGCAGCTATTTGCTTGTAAGCCCGGACAGACGCAGCCACTTAATGAGGCCTGAATCATCCCACCGCACACTCGCTCTTGTCTTTTCCCACGGGCTGACAATGAACGGCTATTTATAGGGCCTGCTTCGGAGTTGCATTTAGCACACAGCCTGCTCAAGCTGCGAGTCAAGGACTGCCCTCACAGTCTCAGTGATCCCAGACGAATGTGCCTACCTGGCTTACTTCGAGAGAAAAAGAGTTAGAATCAGAAACAGTATTTTTCAAATATCTGATGGCACTGCCCTTGTGCCCTACACCTATCTAAAGGACTATGACTTTCAAGAACAGTCCAGAGATGTGTACTCGTAATAGAAGCTAAGATGCATTTACCCTCATCTCCAAAGGCAAAGCTGGGATTGATGAATCGAGCTGAAATCAATGAGGAATTAAGACACACACACACACACATATTCAAACCTCAAACGTTGAACACACCCTCTGCCTTCTCTATTTTCCTTTATTTCATCTTTTAATCTTCTGTCCTTAAGGAGCATCTGAGCCACATCCTCTGGGTTTATGACATTTGACTCATCAAAAATGAGATCAGATGACTAAACTGGAGAAGGGTCAGACCTCAGATGGGGGTTGGAGGGCCATAGAATGGGGAGTCTTAGTGATGAAAATAGAACCACAGGGGAGAGAAAAAAGTTAAAGCTTTGAACTATGTGATATGAAAGCTTAGAAAACTAAGGATTAATCTAGTCATAGCTCGCTGTTGAATTGGTAAAGATAAACTACATATAATTTCTCAACTATAACACTTTTATATTAAAGTTCCATTGAAAAAGAATGAGGCAACGCTCTATCCTCTGCTATAGAAGACTCTCCAAGACGTGTCAAGTAAAAAAAATAGTCCAGAGCAGCATATAATATGCAACTATTTATACTTTTTTATAAGTAGGTGTTTGCTTCTATAAATAGAATCTCTAAAAAATATGTCACTGGGAACCTGGTTGCCTCCTGAGAGGGTAACAGTGTGATGGGGGGAGGGGGCAAGGCTGGAGGGAGATGTGATCTCCACTGTAAATACATTTGTGCTCTTTGTTTCTATAGTGTGTATGTAATGAAAACATACACGAGACGGTTTTAAATACAGAAAACTTCCTCTTCATGGAGGTTAGATTATTCCAGACTGGGTAGATTACCATTCCTTTAATAACATATCCATTTTCTTAGAAGGAAAGAAAAATGGCAAAAAAAAATTTTTTTTAAATCAGAAAACAGAAGGGAACCATCTCCTTTAGCTTTTTTTTTTTTTTTTTTTTACTCTAAAAACCTCTGTGGACATTTTGGTATATACTTAAGAACATGCCCTAAGAATGCTGTTCACACTCAGCTTTTGTGACCTGCACAGTACAGATTGGTGGCCGTCAGGGAAAAATGTGCACTTTTACATATGTTAATGCCCTCTGGCTCATAAAACATTGAGAGATGGTTTCACTGGTGCTGCTCTGAGTGGTGAGTCAAGAACAGAACTCACTGTCAATAGCAGGACATAGCTAGGACAATAAGGATTTGCCTCTAACATAGCAGGAAAAGTCACAGTGAAATTGAGAGGAAGGTACAGATTTCTCATATACTCCCTGGCCCCACACATGCACACTCTCCCCACTGTCAGCATCCCCCACCAGTTGGCATATTTGTTACAACTGATGAACTTACGTGGACACATCACAATCACCCAAAGTCCATAGTTTACATTAGGTTCGCCCTTGGTGGTGTACCTTCTATGGGTTTGAACAAATATTTAATGACATATATCCACCAGTATAGTAACTTACAGAGTCGTTTCATTGTCCTAAAAATCTGCTGTGCTCCATATATCTCTCCCTCCACCCGACACCTGCTCTAAAATACTGCTCTAAAAAATAGAGTTTATTTAAAGAACTAAAACTGAAAACTAAAACTGCTCTGAAAAAAAAAACTCTATTAAAAACAAAACAAAACTGAAAAGACAGCGTTAAGGCGGGCAGAGAAGAATGTATCCAATGAACCCTGCAGTTTCTGGCCTCCAAGGACCTGTGCAATAGGCAAGGAGGACTAGATGTGAGTGATACTTCCATAGAGGACTATGTGAGCTTCTGAAGTTAAAAATGAGCATCCGCATTTTGAGACAACAATGACAGGGGTGACCATTTGGGGGATTCCAGTACCAGCTAGGCCTGGAGTGTGAGTCTGAGAAGGTTCCCTGGAAAGAGCCATCTCTCGGCAGGGACAGGCTGATGACAGAGTGGGTCAAATGACGTTCCGGACAGGGGAGGAAAGGGGGAGCCCGAGTGTCCCTATAACTGAGTGGCACTGGCACGTTCCAGGGCTCAGAGGCAGAAAAGACTGCTGTGATAAGAGGACACGAAGGACTCAGTGTGGCTACAGTGCAGACCGCTTTGAAAAAGTGGGGAAAATGAAGCTGGAGAGGGGAACAGGGGCCAGATCCTGAAAAGCCTCATATGGCATTTTTGTTAGGACAGAATAACATTTAAAATTTTTCACCAGTTGCCTGAATTTTCGCCAGTTGCTGCAGGAGTGACACCAGAACCTTTGTGTTAGAGTAAACACTATTCTTTATCTTTTCATAATCAAAAGGCCCACTGAAGTATTTTTCCTCCAAGTTACAATTTGGATTCTATTCTGAAATATAGGAGTTAACTTCATGAAGAACCAAATTAGAGCCTTTAAAATTTTTATGATCATACCCATGATAAGAAATATACTTACCATGACCACCCAGTAAAGTAAACACACATATACACACACTGGGTACAAAATAGCTGCCTTTATTACATGCAGTGTGCTCTGATGTCTGTCTCTATTCCATGCCATTTAGCTTAGCAGTGAACCTGGCAGTCCACTAATTTAATTTCACAGCCTTCGAATTGGTCACCACCCACAGTTTGAAAAACAGTTAATTTTTCCATTAATAAGCAAGGTAAGGTAGCGTCTTTGCGGGGTGAATTGCCCTTCTGCAGAGAGCTTGTAGCAGTCTTAACTGGCTTTTCTTCCATGGCTGCAGCAAGACATTGAGTAGGCAGAGAAGCGAGAGGTACAGTGGACCAAGCAGCATGGCTTATGGCAAATGCTGAAGAGGTTAATGAAGATAAGAATGCAAGTATAGAGTTAGCAGCAAGGGTGTCTCTGACTTACCAAAGGGGAGAGTCAGGCATGGGAGGGAAGGAAGCTAAACTGCAGATGGCTGGGAGTGAGTATTGCATACAGGCCACAGTTTCAAGGAGCTTGGCGGGAGAAGATGGAAAGAACTCACTAGAGGCCAATATAAGATCTGGAAGGCTTGTTTTTGTTTCAACAAAATATTTTTTTTTTAAATTGACCATTAGTGCGATGGAAAGGAGAGAACGGGTTAGCACGGGGCCCTGAGGGGCCAAGATTGATGGAGTCTTAGAACTGGATGGCCAATATCCTGTTTCAAATATTTCTTTTTTATTTTTTTATTTTTTTATTGAGGAACACGGTGTTTTTCCAGGACCCATCAGCTCCAAGTCAAGTAGTTATTTCAATCTAGTTGTGGAGGGCACAGCTCAGTGGCCCATGTGGAGATCGAACCAGTAATCTTGGTGTTATGAGTACTGAGCTAACCAGCCACTCCTAAATATTTCTTTTAAACAAAGTAATTTTCTTATGTTATCATGAAGTTATGAATAAGGTTTTGCTCAACATGACAGCCTGGTGTCAATTAGCCTTTGGGGGAATTAAGACAAAGGCTTTGGGTGAACCACAGCCGAGGGCCTCCACTACCTGGAGAAGCAGCCATGAGACAGCAATGGTTGATAGCAGCAGTCTGAAAGAGATAAAAGTGACAACCATGTGGAAACACACACACACACATGCCTAATGGAATCCCCAAAATATTTGATGGGAGATTTGATTGAACCTAGCTGCAATCCTGTAGGCTAGAATCAGCCCTGGAATGTTACCCTATGCCTGTGAAGTTTACAATTTAGATATGGGCTCTAAGAAGCACAAATAACATTTTAAAGCATTTGTGAGGATGGAGAACATAAACTTCCTAAGACTCCACTTTGATCACATCATCCTTCCTCTGATCAAATACACTCAGGCTTTCTTGTGTGAAAACTATTGTGGTTGTACAATCTGAACTTGACAGATTTTTCTAAATCTACATTTATAGGATTTCCTCCATCATATCTTCCAAACCCTTTGGTGTGGGACTCAAGGCCCCTACCAACATGACCAAACAGGTAGGTGGAGGAGACCATCCGTTCTGTGGCTGCTCCGTATTATCCTTACCCTCTTCTAGACGAACTGCTCCGCTGTCCTCCAAACACTCCTGCTTCTCTGTCTTTTTCCCTCATGCTATTTCTTCAGTCTGGATGCTATCATAACATCTGGATGAATAAAAGCACACACCCACCCCACCCCCCAAAGATGTCCATGTCCTAACCCCTGGAATCTATAAATGTACCTTATATGGCAAAGGCTTTACAGATGTGATTAAGTTAAGGATCTTGAGATGATGAGGAAATTATCCTGAATTATCTGGATGGGCCCCCGAAGCTATCACAATTATTTGTTTTTGTGTTTGTGTTTTTTGCCTATTGAGATTTCCCATTTTTATTTTTAAGTTAGATCTGGTTGTATTTATTGTAATTTTTTATTTCTCAATTACAGTTGACACACAACATTATAATAGTTTCAGGTGTACAACATAGTGATAGACATTTATATAACTTACAAAGTGATCACGCTGATAAGTCTAGTACCCATCTGACACCATACATAGTTAATGATAATATTACCGACTATATTCTCTATGCTGTACTTTTCATCCTCATGACTATTTTTATAACTGGCAATGTTTTGATCCCTTCACCTTTTTCACCCATCACCCCAATCACCCTCCCATCACAATTGTTCTTATACGAGAGAAGCAGAGGGAGATGTGACACATACACAGAGGGGAAGGTGAGGTGAAGACAGAGCAGAGAGAGATGGGAAGATGGCAGCCTTGAAGACTGATGTGATGTGGCCGCAAGCCAAGGAATGCCAGCAGCCACCA